TTAGTAAGTGATGAGCCTGCCAGTCTTGCTGGGGATTTTGGAGGCAGTTTGGAGGAACTGTTCCAGCACAGAGCAGGAAGATGTATTAATTCTAACCTCCAAGAACAAATGCTTTCCAAAAAGGTCACACTGCTGCAAGTCATGACATTATGAGCCTGATCTCATGAAGCTGCTATAAACTGGCCTGCAGTCACATTTGTTCCTGCCTTAAATCAAGACCAAATTTCCTTTGCAGACACAGCTTTGGGGAGTGGCTGCTGGGGGGGTTTCTGTGTCCTGTGCTGTGTCCAAAGGCAGATGATCACCAGCACCTCCCCCAGCAAGAAAAAGGATCAGAATTTAAATGTATCACAGCCAGCTGCTTATTTCTCTGCTGGTCTGTTCCCATGGCTCCTGCTGTCACTGGCTCCCAGCTTTCCCAGCTATATCCATGTATCTCCCCTGAGGAGCAGCACTGCTGCCTTCCACCAGCTCATTAAGCATTTTAAGAAGAGCATCTCTTGCCGATTTTTCTCCCACAGGATCTGCATTCAAAAAGCTGCTCCTGCCTCGTCCAGCTCAGGGGATGAGGACAAACCCCCCATTTTTGGATGCATGCAGGGGCAGGTGTGGGATAGACTGAGATGCACATCCCAGATGGGAGCACAGCCCCTTGCACAGCAGGGCAATCTGGATTTCCAGGCAGCTCAGGGAGTGCCTGGGAAAAAACCTTCCCCATCAGGAAACCTTTGGGGAGTGTTTGGTGAAGTGAGCTTTTGCTCTGACTCTGGAAGGAGTTCAGTTCCTCGGGGGATTTGGCAGGCACTGTCCTGGACCCCAGTCACAGTCTGAACCTTTAATTCCCAGGACATTTCCCCAGAATGGCAGAATTCATGGCTCAGTCTCTGTCTCAGGTTCCTCCTGCTCCTACTTGCACAAGGATTTCACCCACCAGAGCTTTTATTTTTAGAAATAAAACACCTTTGTGCATCCCAGGAATTATTTGATGCCTGGTATCAAATGAAGAGTTCCTTGTGAGCCAGGCCAGGTTTGCCACTCTGACCCTTCCAGCATCCCTGCCCCTTCTCCCTGTCCTCCCCTGCACAGTGGCTCCACACTCATCTGTTTACATGTCATTTGCCATCACTTTTCCCTGACAATCCATAGGAGCCATTCCCAGCTCTTGGCAGTGGTTGTCACATCCCCACCTTTTGGATCAGACCCACACATCCACCTCAAAGCAGAGGAGGGGCTGCATTTGCAATTTTCCCTAAATAATCCTATTAAAACAACCCCCTTTGGTGATCTGCTCTTAGTGGAAGCCCAAGGATAAAGTCAAAGAACTTACAGGGATAATCCCACCGTCCCTCCAGCTGTCAGACTGTAATCTGTGTGAGGAGTGAACCAGCTCACTCCCTCTGACACCTGCTTTCCATAATCCATCCTGGTGGGACTAGGACAGCTCCTGTCTCCACGCTGTCCCTGCAGCCTTTATCAGCCTGTCTGATAATTAAACAGGGCTGACATTGTGTCACCTGCTCTGGGGCTGCTTGGTTCCTCCTCTCTGCCTAATGAAATGTCCCTGGCTATGGAGTTTCCCGGATATTCCTGGATTATATAAAGGTCAGTACGTGAGGGGCACCTCTCCCGACCCAGCCTGTTCAGGGATCCCAGTGCAGGTTCCTCTTCCCCTCAGAACTTCAGGAAAAATGGTGTTTTACTGTACTCCTTGAGGAGAAAAGATTGGAGAACCTTTCACCATCCTGTTCAGCACAGAGATTCTTCCTGACTTGTTTGTAATTTCTGCCAGTCTGAGCCAGGACGAACAGAGCCTGGGTTAGTGCAGGAGTTTGGCCAGAGGCTCCTGGGGTCTCATCACCGAGGTGATGCATGAAATCACCTCAAATATTCCCTTCTCCTGGTCTGTAGCTCTGCCAGTCCTGCATCATTTGTTAGGTCTTCACCTGCTTAAATTCCTGAGTGAGGGCTGGAGCCCCTCTGCTCTGGAGCCAGGCTGGGAGAGCTGGGGGGGTTCACTGGAGAAGAGAAGGCTCCAGGGAGACCTGAGAGCCCCTTGCAGGGCCTAAAGGGGCTCCAGGAGAGCTGGAGAGGGACTGGGGACAAGGCATGGAGGGACAGGACACAGGGAATGGCTTCCCACTGCCAGAGGGCAGGGACAGATGGGATATTGAGAAGGAATTGCTGGCTGGGAGGGTGGGCAGGCCCTGGCACAGGTTGGGCAGAGGAGCTGTGGCTGCCCCTGGATCCCTGGAAGTGTCCAAGGCCAGGTTGGAGCACCCTGGGCTGGTGGAAGGTGTCCCTGCCCATGGCAGGGGTGGCACTGGAGGGTCCTTAAGGTCCCTCCCAAGCCAACCCCTCGGTGATCTTTGTGCTCCCTCTCACGCTCAGTGGCATCTTCAGGAGATGTCACCCGGGCTCTTACAATGCTGGTGTGAGCACCCCTGGCAGATTCCTCCTTCCCTTCTGGCAATAACCATTCAGAACCTCCCTCCCAGTCCCATTCCCAGCCAGACTCAGCCCTCACACCCCCTCCTGTCTGGCAGAGCACCGTGCTTGCCTCCAAAGTTGTAATGATTTATTTGAGCCCCCGCTGCTCTCTCTTGCCTGGCACAGCCCTGTGTGTGCTATTTTCACTGTTGTAAGGCTTTTGAAACCAGATCAGCTGGGTCTTCATTAGAAATCATGAGATCATTACTGTCTTCAGGAGAAGAAGGGAGCCTGGTTTGATGTGATTCATTAAAACCAAGCTGTTTCTGGTTTTTCACGCTGCTTTTCTTCTCAGCTTTCCTGTGAAGTAAGACTAATTTCCCTGATTTTTACCTCCTGGTTGTGTCTCTTTCTGAAGTTCTGGACAACATTGGCCTTTTCCTTGTTTTCTAGGACTGTGCATCCCCACTTGTGTGAAGCAGAAATGAAGGATTATTAACTGCAATCAGTAATAATCCTGAGATTTCTACATGATTTTTTAGCTCTTGTCCATTATTCCGTGTATTTTAAAAAGGGGCACAGCTGTGACCCTTTGTTTGTCCTATTAATTGTATCATCCACCTGATCAGTGATTTTTGATGGCATTCATTTCCCAGTTAGCTTCATCCTGAATTTCCTTACTCTATCAGATACCAAACCAACACTACTGGCAGTTGCATTGCTTGATCTTGCATTTCCCATTACTTGATCTTACATTTCTCATTAACCTTCCTTACCAGCTGTGTCCTGATCTGTTGGATTTTGAGTATGCACATCCACTGGATTTTCCCCATTAATTATTTGATTCTCTGGATTTCACGTGGCTTCCTGAGTATGGGAAGTCCAAGAATAAATGTACCCCCCCTGTCTTCTGCTACACATCCTCTGCTCTGGGGCAGGGATTGTTCCTTCCCAGTGCTGGGATCTGATTTGGTTCTGTCAGTGCATCTGGGAAAGCTCATTTGAACAGACTTAGTTCATTTGTAAGCAAGTCCAGACAGTGTAAGCTGATTAGGATTGTGAGCAATGGAGCATCCACCCGAAATTCCCTTCCATCCCAACCGAATCAACAGCCATCAGTGCTGTGCCATGGTCAGAGGTGACAATTTGCACAAGCAGGAGTTTGCAGGAAGGTTAGGAGAGGGGAAAAAAGCCAACATGGTTCAAGTTGAAAAAGCCAATTCCCAGGTGCTGTTGGTGAAACACATTGGGGGTGCCAGGCCAGGAGCTGGACTCGATGCTCCTGCTGGGTCCTTTTGAACCCAGGAGATTCTGGGGCTCTGGGTGCTGTGCCAGGCTGGTTTACCCTCACCCTGGGAGTGGCAGCCAACCCCTGTGCCAGGCTGTTTTATCCTCACCCCTCTGACAGAGCACAGGGCACGTTGTGTCCCTGCAGGAGGATGCTCTGCCTTGTCTGCCTGAGCTGAACCCCCACTCTGGCATAAAAGTGCTTTAGTACAATTCAGGGGCACTGCTTTCTGTCATCAGACTGAGAAAGATTTCCTAGCAGAGCACAGGATTGTTGACTTTTACAGCAGGGAAAGCTATTACCTGGGTTTTCTGTGGAATTTAACAATGAAATCGTTGGGCTGTGCTACCTAACACAAGGTTACACTGGATATTTATTACAATGCTTGGAGTCTCTGCTAAACCAAGCACAGAAAACCTTAGGCAAAGACTGTCATGCTCTGATTTGGCACAAAGAAATCAAAATAACTGTGTGAGAAATCAGAATTTAAACGTCTAAAAATCTCTCTTAAAGGAGAAATCAATATAAAGCAGCCTAATTCCTCCTTTATGCTGTTCTAAGGCGTGTGTTTGCTCCCTGTGTTCCACAGGCAGCGTGTGCAGCTTGGTGTCCTGGAACTGCTGCAACAAGTTAATCTTATTTTGCTGTGCTGAGAAGGGCTTTGGGAGGATTTTGCCCTCGATTGCCTTCCTGCAGCGATGCCAAGAGCACAGGGAGATGTGTGAGCTGATGTGTTCCCTGCACTCGTGTCAGCTGCCATTTAAAAATAATCACCCCGAGTTGTGGTGCCCAAATATTTGTGTCAAGAATGTATAACACCCCCCCAGTATCCAGAGACACTGCACAGCAAATGAACCTGCAGCCCTGGTACAGAAGTGGGGTGTTTGTGTGCCTGTCTCGTGGGCACAGTGAAACATCACCTGAGGGTCACTCCAAGCTCCACCTGGGAATGCAAAGAGCAGGAATTCCTCCTGCCCTTGAGGAAGGCCAGGGGCAGTGTCCTCCATGCAGGACGTGGGAGGTTCGTGGGTGAAGGTTCCCTCCTGCAGTGGGGTATCCAGCTCTTGGTCCTCAGCACAGCAAGGACGTGGAGCTGCTGGAGAGAGTCCAGAGGAGGCCCTGGAGATGCTGCCAGGGCTGGAGCCCCTCTGCTCTGGAGCCAGGCTGGGAGAGCTGGGGGGGTTCACCTGGAGAAGAGAAGGCTCCAGGGAGACCTGAGAGCCCCTTGCAGGGCCTAAAGGGGCTCCAGGAGAGCTGGAGAGAGACTGGGGACAAGGCATGGAGGAACAGGACACAGGGAATGGCTTCCCACTGCCAGAGGGCAGGGAGAGATGGGAGATTGGGAAGGAATTGCTGGCTGGGAGGGTGGGCAGGCCCTGGCACAGGTTGCCCAGAGAAGCTGTGGCTGCCCCTGGATCCCTGGAAGTATCCAAGGCCAGGCTGGAGCACCCTGGGCTGGTGGAAGGTGTCCCTGCCCATGGCAGGGGTGGCACTGGGTGGGCTTTATGGTCCCTCTCACCCAAAGCATCCCATGGGTCTGTGATGATGTGAAGGGTGGGAGGTGTTGTGGTCCAGAGGGACACACCAGCTCAGGTGGTGCAGTTCACTGGTGGGGACTGCAATGACAGCACCAGAAAAGCCAATTTGAGCTCCAGCAAAGCCCAAACCCCCCAGTTTCAGCAGACTGGGGAAGGAGGAGGATGTGGAGCCTTGGGAACAAACACGAGGGGGAAGAGCAGAGCAGAGGGATGGGCAGCTCCTGGGAGAATCCACATTAGAGGTTCAATGGCAAAGCAGCCTTTGGTGGAAGGGAGATGGAAAAAGAACAAGATATATTGAAAAAGGCTGAGAGAATGAAGTAATAAAATGTAACCTGAAATTCTACCTTTCCCTCCACTTCTGAAGAACTCGGAGGTGATGAGTAGATCTGTCAAAATATTTGTAATGGGAAAGTCCTGATTTATGAGGTTTTGTTTTTCATTGTTTTCTTCATTCTTTTATAAAAATATAGTCAAAATCGGGGGGGGAAGAACATTCAGGTTTTCCCATTTCTTTTGTTTTCAAAATTAAAAGGGCAAAGAAAAGCAACATTGTTTATGTATTATGTTTTTTAAATATGAGGAAAAAAAACCTGTAATTTTTAATTACTGTCAGAACTGGACAAAAGATGAGTGAGAGAGAAAGCAGGTCACCATTTCTGCTTGTGTAACGTGGGCTGACTTCCTTGTCAAGGAAAAAAATAACACATCTTTCCTGCAGGAGAGGACTTGGCTACGGGGGAAAATCCCACTTTCTAACTAGCTCTGTTCAAACAGAATTTGGAGACCACAGATTAATTGCACTAATTACAAGCTTTCAGCCACCTTGCTGATCCCCGTGTCAGTTTGCAGAGAGAGGAATGAGGGCTCGGAACCTGAAAGTGCTTCTCCTGCAAAGAGCTGGCCCCGTTACGCTGATGAGCTGACCTTGGTCCTGAAGGGCACTTTCCATCTCCAGTAAATCACGGGTACTGACATGGAATTTTTCAGAGTATCATGTACAGGAGAGACCTGTTTTGTTTTTTCTCCCGGAGTGAATTTGTTGTCCTTTGCCCTTTTCTGGCACTGTCAGGTGTGGGCACGTGTGAGGTGCCCACACGTTCAGCTCCCTCTGAGTTTGCCCATGGTATCTGAGCCCGTGTGGCAGCTGCCAGACTTTCACAGGAATCATGGAATCATGGAACACCCTGAGCCGGAATGTTCCCCCAAGGATTATCCACTGCAACCTCTGGCCCTGCCCAGGACACCCCAACAATCCCCCCCGTGCCCCAGAGGATCATCCAAACCCTCCTGGAGCTCTGGCAGCCTTGGGGCCGTGCCCACCGCCCTGGGGAGCCTGTTCAGTGCCAACCACCCTCTGGGGGAAGAGCCTTGTCCTGAGATCCAACCTGAGCCTGCCCTGGCACAGCTCCAGCCCTTCCCTGGGTGCTGTCCCTGCTCACAGGGAGCAGAGATGGAGCTGCCCCTCAGGGGGAAGCTGAGACCACTTCACCCGTGTGAACATTGCACATGTGGAAAAACAGGCACTGCCAGGGTGGGAAGAGACCTCTGGATGTCCTTTGCACCAACCTCCCTGCCCAGGCAGGGCCACCTGGCTCCCATTGTCCAGGAGTGCTTTGCCTGTCTCCAGGGATGAGAGCTGGGATGGGAAGACCTGTCAAGTGTCCCAGTCCAGGGAGCCCTGGAATAGAGGGGAATGTTTTAGAACATGAAATACTCCTGGAGACAGGCTACAGGAGGAGCTGCTCAGTCGTTTGAGGCTCCTTTGTAGAAGCCAAGGCACAAAGGAGGGGCCCACGTGAGGGATGTGGCACCACAGAGCTGTGAGAGCTCCAGTGTCTCCAATCCACGGGGGGGTTCTGGGGTGTCGGGGGTGTCCTGGGGCTGGGGAGCAGCAGCTCAGTGTGGGAGGTAACTCTGAGCACATCTGCTCACCTGCAGGTTGATGGAGGACCCCGAACAGCTTAACCCCCCCCATTCAGCACATGTTCAGAGAGTTAAAAGGTGCTTCTGCCACAGAGCTGCTGTTCGGGGAAGATCCAGCACCAGGAGCTTTCCCGGGAGATGGAATCACACCCAGTGGCTGCTCGGGGGTCTGGGTTTATTGCTGCTCTGCTCATTCCTCTCTCAGCTGTCACTGGGCACACGAGGGTCTCCCAGCAGTGGATGGGGCTGTGTTCCTGGAAGCAGAGGAGCAGCAGGGAGTTCCCAGTTCCCTCCTCACCCCCTGGCTTTGCCGTGGGAACGTGTCCCAGCTCCTCCCTGTTTCCCTGTGCCGTGAGAATGAACTGCTCTGACCCAGCACTCCTTTACTGCATTCAGAGGGGGTGGTGTTTGGCCACGCTCTGCTCGTGACCTTTTCAATATTCTGTGTTTTGTTTGAGGAGCACTTGGTCCAGTCCCCCAAGGCTGTGGGATGTGGGCTGTGGGCTGTGGGTTGTAAACACAGGATGGTTGGAAAAGGCGAGTAATCAAAGTGCTCTCACAGCAAAGGGCACGAGCCCATTGCACAGTGTATTGTTACACCCAGCAGTCATTCCCAGGGCTGACAGGCAGGAACTTGCACATGGAAAGCATTCGGGTGCAGGCAAAAAAGTGCTTTCCCTAAGGAATAACAGCACAGAGGGATCACCTCTGGAATATCATGACACTGGAGACTGTGAGCTGGGCCAGTGTGTTGGAGGCTGTACAGGTAATAAATGAGATATAAAGGGAATCAGACCAAACTATTTCCAATCATGTCATGGCAAAGACATCCCTTGTCCCTCCTGGAACAAGCCAGGTGAGGTCAAGGGAGGGAATCCCGTCCCCCTGCTCAGCACTGGGAATACACAGGCCAGGTTGGATGGGGCTTGGAGCAACCTGGGCTAGTGGAAGGTGTCCCTGCCCATGGGAGGGGGTGGAATGAGATGAGCTTTAAGGTCCCTTCCAACCCAAAACACTCTGGGATTCTACTCTAAGTGCCTTTCCTTGGCCAAATGTGGGGCCAGGCCAGGCCCAGCTAACCCTGCAGTCCAGCCTGGCTGGGGACATCCAGGATAGAAGGGAAAACCCCCCTGGGGCAGGGATTTGTCTCCACATGCTGTGGAAGGGCATTGCTGGGAGAGGGTTGATGCTATTGACTCCACTGTCACTGTTACTGCATCGAGGAGTTATTTGGAGCTTATTTTTGTCAGCATTTGCAATCCCTAATGATCCATCATGCTCGGTGCTATCAATAACAGGGCTGGAAGAACATATTTTTATGTGCTTTCTCCTCTCACACACATTTTCCTGTAAAGAAAGAGTGTTTTTCATGCAAATTGTATTTTTTCCCTCCTGTGCACATGTGCTGAGCTATATCAAGAGCAGGACTGTGAAACAGATAAAAAGCTGCCCATATGCTGCCTTGATGTCTCGCAGTGCCTGGAGCCCTGGCAATCTGGAGTGGGATTCTGAGCAGGCTCTTCCAGGCTCTGCTGGCTGGAGAAGGAGCTCCTCAGCCTTCCAGTCTGCCCAGTGCTTGGACAAGGATGCTACTGGGAAAAGTCATAGAGTGGCCTGGGTTGGAAGGGAACCTTAAAGCCCATCTCATTCCACCCCCTGCCATGGGCCTTTTTACCACTACTTGCACTGGTGGTACCCAGCGGATTGGTGCAGTCAGACAAGGAGAGGAACATTTCCTTTTATGACCTGGGGAAGCAATCAATCCTTCCCTTGCTGTCACTGTATTGCTGCTCTGATTTGAGAGAATGGGGCACCTTAACGAGCCAGTTAACGGGAACGTCCACGTTTATTCCCACCCTAATGGAAAACCCTTCACAGGGCACCGAAGCCTTCTGCTCATTTGCTTTGATTCTTAACGAAGGACATTTCAGACTGAAGTCTTGTTTTCTTGTTTTATTAAAAAGCATTAAAAATATTGCTCATAAAATATATATGGGGGGTTGAACTTTTGCTGCTGCTGCAGGGATGGATAAACGCTCTGCATTAAAAAAAAAACCAAGGAGAAATCAAACAGCAGCTTCCAGCCCCTCGATAGCTCAGTGCGAGCCAGAAAGGCATCTCCTGGCTGTCAGTTTGTCAGGGCTCCTCCCCAGGGTGAAGTGGCCAGCGCTGGGTCATTCCCACGGGTGGGACCGCGTGTGGTGCTGGGACAGGCGGGGTCAGGGAGGAGCAGCAGCATCGCTGGGAGGGGCAGAGCCCGCGGCACAATTAGTGCAGGCTGTTAATGAGGGGGGCTGAGCTCAGTGATCCTCCCTGAGCTGGGATGAACCACATCAGACACTCCCCTAATTAAAATGGGAGAGCAACTACAGTGTCGTTTTTCCTCTCCACCTTTCCTGGGCAGAGCCTTGGAATAAAGATACAGCTTTTTTTTCACTGAGTCCTGGAACAACAGACTGCTTTGGCTTGGAAGGGACCTTAAAGCTCATCTCAGGAATGACCAGGTGAGTTCTAGGTTTGGGCCAACACTTTATACACAAAATATAACACTGAAATAAAGGAGGGAAGAGCATAAGAAGCAGCTTCATCGCCCTGTGACAGTGAGCTCTGCAGTGTGCCCAGACTGATGCTTCCTTCAGCTCCCATCTGATATCGGGCAGTTATTTCAGTGCTGTCAGGACCCTCAACACCCCCCACAGCCACATCTTGCATTGCAGTGTATAAACTGTGAGTAAATAAATCAAACAATATGAGAAACTTCCCAATGTGCCATTTCTAAGGGGTTTTTTTCACACTTTGTGGGCCATTTGTCTGCTCTGCACAGTCTTTTTTCACAGCCGATTTCCATCTGTTTCCCGTGGAATTGATAATGTTCTGCACAGCATTCCCTGCACTCAGACATGGGCTGCAATTAAATGCCA